CTGATAACAAGTTTAAAAAAAGAGACTAATTAAAACGCATAAAGATGTAAAGTGAAGAGTTATGTATATAATTTCCCACTTGAAACACCAAAATCATGAATGAACATTGGTGATGTGGAAGAAAATTATAAGTATGCAATCTTTAAAAAAAATTAATTAAATGTAGAAAAGAGGCCAACATTGATTAAACAATGACAGACCATTGTGAGAAAGTGAGCAGAATGAGCACCATCTTTTCGGCATGTGCAATTCCCCTCTCTCCTGGAAAAGCCCAGCAATTTGGTTAATGTTGGCTGCGTCCAAGCTAAGCCATATGGTCTTTTGCAAGGCTTCCTCCAAAATTTCAACAGATTAAGGCTTTCTGATTCTCCCCTATACAGAAGGAGGAACATCTTTGAGCAGAGAGGGCGGTGCAGGACATCCCGAAGGAGCTCAGAAAGCAGGATGAGGGCTTTCTATAGATGAAGAGTCATTCATAAAGAGATGACGGATATCCGGGCGTGGCTGCCGAGCGATCTGGGCGCATTATTGTGCTGAAGTGGCGATGATTATGACGATCAGCTTTAAATGATTCCATCAGTGTGTTAATGAGGTGGTGGCTCCAATCTCGCCCTGCTAGCGGGATACGGTTGGGGAAATGGGCTTTTGTGTCTCCACCTGACAGATGTGCTGAAAGCCGGCAGAGCAGCAAACCTGCATCAGCGTCCTTCTGGCTATTATTATCCTCCATTCATGTCTCTCATGCCATTTCATGTCTTTTTAATCAAATACTAGTATATTTTTGGCTCACAGGACACGAGGCGATCCACATGTCACTGTGGTCCTGCTGGAGTGAAAATGGAGTTAATACAGCTTGGAAGAAAAAAAATAATCAAATATCTTTGTACACGTAATCCCTTGAAAAATAATCAGTATGTCCTGGTGAAAAGGAACACAAACGTAGCATGTTTAAGTACAAGGGACGGCATTCACTTCAACCCAAAAAGGGTAAAATGCACCATTTTTGAGGTTGTGAGAGAATTTTTTAGTCATCATTTCATTGTGAGGTTTACAAAAATGCTCAAGCCTCTAATTCAAAGCATGTGTGTACTAAAGCACTCCACAAATTTAAAAGACAAAAATAGCTCTAGGAAGAAACATTCTAGGCCTCAAACATAGGGGTTCTTTTGCACAAACAAACAAAAATGGACACTTGACACTGTTGACTCATACTAAAAGAATTAAGATGTGAAACCACAGAAGACTGAGTGACAAATCTTCTTAAGTCTCTATTTTAAGTTCCAAACTTGCATTAATATATTTGTTCCAGTGAATATTAGGATATCATGCAACAACAATTTCTTCACAGATGCATCACTTAAAGGCGGTCTGAAGTGGTGACTTTTTCAAGGTGACCGTTCAGTGAAAATCAACTGGTGTGCTTCGGAAGAAACTCAAATTCCTATACCATGTGACACTTATAATATAGTGACCTAAGCAGCCTTTTGACAAATCTCATTCACACCACTAGAGTCCTCTGGTCTGTCTGACAGCACTACTAATTCATCATGTGACAGTATGCAGATGCCCTGATGGCTGTTTATAAATGACTGTGAGTAACCTGCTGCTTCCCATTCCTTTCTTCTGCTTTCCTTCTCAGCCGCATTGTATCAGGTTTGCATCATGAGATGACATCAGAGAGTAAGCATGCACCCGGTTCCATTGACTGCAATAGCTAAATATGGCTATGGGCCGGCACGCCATGGCCGGCCGGGTGGGCGGCAGCAGGCCAACTCCATTACACGCACTCAAAGACATTCTTTCAGAGAATGTGAGCCCTTCACTTTCTGGATGATCTTTCACAGACAGAGGAAAATATCCTTATATGGAGCATTTCCACTATATGTACATTAGAACACCTGGGTTGATGAACACAATGTGTTAGAATGTATGAATGATAGTTTCAAATTTATATAAAAGGGATAGTTCACCCCAAAATTTAACTTAAGCCATTTCATTTGTATGTCAGTCAAATAGACAATGAAATCTATACCCAAATCAATCTGAAATAATTTGAGAGTTGAGAATCAAAATCGAATTGTGAATTCTGTGCAGACACTGTCCATACCATACCTAAATGATTATTATAGGAACACCTGTTCAATTTCTCATTAATGCAATTATCTAATCAACCAATTATGGCAGTTGCTTCAATGCATTTAGGGATGTGGTCCTGGTCAAGACAATCTCTGAATGAATGTCCAAACTGAATGTCAGAATGGGAAAGAAAGGCGATTTAAGCAATTTTGATCATGGCATGGTTGTTGGTGCCAGACGGGCACAATCTGCTCAGTTACTGGGATTTTCATCCACAACCATTTCTAGTGTTTACAAATTATGGTGTGAAAAGGGAAAAACATCCAGTATGCGGCATCCAGTATCCAGTATCCAGTATGCGGCAGTTGATGCTAGAGGTCAGAGGAGAATGGGCCGACTGATTCAAGCTGATAGAAGAGCAACTTTGACTGAAATAACAACCGAGGTATGCAGCAAAGCATTTGTGAAGCCACAACACGCACAACCTTGAGGCGGATGGGCTAAAACAGCAGAAGACCCCACCGGGTACCACTCATATCCACTTCAAATAGGAAAAAGAGGCTACAATTTGCAAGAGATCACCAAAATTGGACAGTTGAAGACTGGAAAAATGTTGCCTGGTCTGAGGAGTCTCGATTTCTGTTGAGACATTAAGATGGTAGAGTCAGAATTTGGCGTAAACAGAATGAGAACATGGATCCATCATGCCTTGTTACCACTGCGCAGGCTGGTGGTGGTGGTGTAATGGTGTGGGGAATGTTTACTTGGCACACTTTAGGCCCCTTAGTGCCAATTAGGCATTGTTAGTATACGTTAGTATCGTGTTCCAAACAATCCTTTAGGTGAGTGTTTTTTAATAGACTCAAAAACATAGCCATGATGTGAACACTTCAGACTAATTATTAAAAGTAAGTATTGTGTGTGCAGTGTACAGAATCCATGTACACTCCTCAGGCTGTGGAGCACGTTAGTCAGGAGCGAAAAAGGCAGCCAAACAATTTTTGTTATGCAGGATGCACAACTGTGTCCAACGGTGTCCTCGCCTGGCTTACAATACGCAGGGAAAACACCAATAGTTAATGTTTTCACAGGCTGCAGGGGCTCTGCAGATAAAGCCTGTGAAGATTTGACATCTCTTCTGTAGCAAAGTAGGACATGACCAATGCTGAGTCACCATCAAAAGACTGAGATCATGTTCAGTATTCTACAGAGCGCCTCAGACTCCTCTGGGTCCTTCTCATGGAATTATACATCACTGATGGAGAAACACTCATGTAACAGAGCTAAAGAAGATCTTTCCCTACTCTACATCAAAACATGATAATAACTTTCATTAAGTCATTAAGGACAACACAAATTGAAAAGGTGGCCTTTCTACATAATAAATGTCACTGTCCTTATTGTGAGTGATGTGTCATGTACATTTTGTAAAGAAAAAATTGGGCAGAAGGATGGTTTTTATAATCTTTCTGCCCCTTTGTAATGATTTTCTGCTAACGCACCCACAAAAGCCACAGAGGCACACATTATTAATAAAAATTAAATCACACTAAATGCATTTAGTTTGTCACCCATGGCTTCTCCATTGTGGCTTTAATTTTGTTAGATAAATAACGACACACTGTAATATGTAAGGTGTTGTTGTTCATCTAAAATGCGTATATGAATTATATAAAAATATATACATATATATACAAACCTTCTGCTTTTAAACAACAAAAAAAGTTTTATTCTAGCTTCATGCATTCCATTTTATAAACACTATATATATAGTGTGTATATATATATATATATATATATATATATATATATATATATATATATATATATATATATAAAATCATCTGGTAGTTAGCAGGCCTTAAAATTATGATGAGCTCAATCTATGTTTTGATCATCATTCTGAATTCCAATCTGGATGTAGTCTTTGACAAAAACGTGTTATTCTAATATTTTTTTTATGAAACTTACCCAATATTCAAGTGTTGATAAAAGAGGGTTTGTTCTTTTGATATATTGCATATTCAAATAATCATACAACGAGTTCTAGGGGTCATGAAACTTTTGTGAAAATGATTAAACATTCTGGCAGCGGCTAGCAACTTTTTTCAAAAACACAGTCAGGGAAAGAGTCAACATGACTACACATCATATAGCAGCCTTCTTTGCTATATGGTAACATTTTAAGCCTTACTGCAATACAATTTAATAAGGATGCAAAAGTTGCATCTATAGCCCGGTATTATTGAAGAAAACGTAGAAAGAAAAAACCTGCCAAGGATGCTGTGAGCTTTGAGCATGTATATTCCAGTAAAGCAGCCTCAACCTTGACTGCTGCTTCCTTTGGGAACTCATTGCAGAAAAGCTTTTCATTAACAAGACCTGGGTGAGTAACAGCCTCCGTCATCCTTTGAAGTCCACAGAATTCTTGATGAAAACACGCTCATGAAAAAGCAAATTCAGAGCTTCAAAGTGATGATTTAACTGAACTTAGTCCAACAGACATTAACATTACATTGCAACACTATCTGTGTTTGATTCTGCAGTGTGAGGGTTCACCTGGTTCATATTCTCACCTTCACACATGCAGATGTCAACTCGGAATCTATGAGTGCACATGTTGTTTTGTGCTTAAGTGTGTGCTAATCCATTTTCTCCACTAAAACTAATTTTGCACCTTAAAAAAAACATTTTGGCAAATACACTATAGCCAAAAATGAGAGCAAGATTATGGTTCTACTGGTATTGGGAAAACATAAGAGAACCTTGAAACATACTTTCCTAATCACACCTTTAAATGATGAATAAATCTCATCTGCAGGCTTTTTGATTGATTTAAGCTGAACGGAACCCTATGGGTGACTTCTCATCAAGACCTTTTTGTACCATTAACTGCAGTCAGTGTCTTTAACATTGGTATTTACCTTCTCTGCACCTCCAGCTCCTCTGGCGAAGGGCCATTCTGCACCTGAGGGGTCTGTCTTGGCAACTGGGGGCCTGTGGAAAGAGAGGAAAAATCTGAATTAAGCATCAGTTTTGAAAACTTATGGTAAAGCACTAAGGACATTTAAATCTGATCAATAATGCAAAAGAGCAACAGAAGACTAGGTTTTAGAGCGAAAGAGAGTAACATGGAGTGATGGCGCATCGATCAGGTGTGTTGGACAGCAAGAATCAATTAGGACATTATATATCAGGGAAAGGGGAAAAGATTATCTGTAAAAAGAACCATCAGCAGAAGTTCAAGCCACTGTGCATTAAAAAGATGGCTAAGCACCAACAGAGTCAGAGCCAGAGCCCAGACGAAATACTTAAAGGGATACTCCACTTTTTTTTGGAAATAGGCTCATTTTACAACTCCAAACGGGTTTTACCGTTTTCAAAGGTATTCAGGCAATTTTTTGATATTTAGAAGAATATCAGTAACCAGACAGTTTCTGGTCTCATTGACTTCCATAGTATATTTTTTTCGCACTATGGAAGTCAATGAGACCAGAAACTCTCTGGTTACTGATATTTTTTCTAAATATCCAAAAAAAAAAAAAAAAAAAAAAAAAAAAAAAATCGGCTGAATGCATTCAAAAACGGTAAAACTCAACAGTTTAACTCTGGGGAAGTTGTAAAACGAGCCTATTTCCAAAAAAAGTGGAGTATCCCTTTAAGGGGGCATTCGAAATGCTGAAAATGTAGTTCAAGTGACATATTTGTAACTTTAACTAAACAATATGTAACACTGTATCATCCTTGTCTAAAGATTTCAACTTTGTTAGAAATACAAGCAAATGCATAACTGTAAAACCATACCAAACAATAAAAATACATTTCAAATAAATAAAATTAAAAACAATGATATTAACAAATGTTTATAGTATGTTTTTTATATTAATTTTAAAATTAATAATTATTATTGTCATTATTATTATTGTTAAAAATATATTTATACATTTCTTACAAGAAATAAAATAAACTAATAAAATAAAAATAATAAAATAAAACTACTATTTAAAAAGACATTTAAATTGCATGGGTAAAGGCTACAGACAAAGCTAATGAGGGATTAAAATAGCAAATACATCAGATTTTCAGAAAAATCTGACGATTTTTATGTTTTATTTTGTGTTCTGACTTACAACTGTATTTTCAGTGCAAGCCTGAGAAAGAAAGACTGAATGATGAGCGCATGCCGGGAATATATCATGCAGGTGGAAAACCAAGCCTTGATATTTTCTTGAGTAAAGAGGTCCTGTTACATTTGCCAGGTGCTGGAATGAAAGCTTAGAACAAACACAGGACAGGTCTCTGCCGTGACACGATTGACTGATCGATCAATGCAGCATTGTGCAGGTAAGAGAGGTCTGTTTGTAGAGTCTGGAGGTAAGGCTCTCGCTGCTCATTACCAGACTGCATGTGCCCTCCACCATTTCCTGTTTATTTGCTTCTCACAGCATGGCAAAAACAAAACCTTTATTATGCTTTCACCTGTTTTTTTTTCCAGCAGTTTGATCATTTTAGTGGGGGGAGGTAGTCTAAATAGTCTAGCCACATAGCAAAAGGTCTGGTCCATTTATCAGGTTTGAAACCTTCTGTCCGACAAAGTGAATTTGTTTCATTTTTACACATTTTGCATGGAATATCTGAAAGTTCTTATACCACAATAACATTTTTTTAAAACACACACTGTAAAAAATATTGTTGGTTTAACTTAAATTAAGTAAGTAGCCTGGTTGCCTTAAAATGTTAAGTTGATTGAAATGGAAAAGTGAGTTAACACAATGAAGGAGATTGATTTAATCACCAGAAACACAAAATAATAAGTTATCTGAACTAAATAAATGATTTAAGTTGATTTGACAAAAGATAAAATGTGATAACAAATCTTGAAAATATTTTTTTCAAAACAAAACAAACATAAAACACATAAAATGTTACATTGTTACACACAAATGTTACAACATAACATTAAAAAAACACAAAAACAACAAAACTCAACATAACAAAATCTAAAAAAATTAAAAAATAAAATATAACAAAACATAAAACTTCAAACATTAAAAAAAAAAAAAAAATTTGTATATGAAAAAACAACATAAAACAACAACACAACATTTACAAAACATAATATTAGAACAAAAACACACCATAAAACAGCAAAACAGCATTTAACATAATATAAAACAACATCTGTTTGATAAAGTCCTATCAATATTAAAGTTGGAGCAAAGCAGATCATGGCATGCAATGCACATCGAGTAACAAAGTTCAACTTCACCATAAACAAAAAGAAATGGCTTGCAGAACATGTTAATTGGATTAAACAAGTCTGAATGCAGAATTCTCCTTACAGAACAAGACTCCACGATAAAAATCCGACATTAGAGCTGAGCCATCTGGACAAGCCAAGCAGTAATCAAGTCATCTGTCAAATCTAATCTAACATAGCAGTTTTGTACCCCCCTTTAAAAAAGCCAAACATTCCTGATTGTCCATGTTCATGTAACCCACTCTACAAATTCCCTTCTCAAATGTCCTTTGTCTTCAACACATATAAAACACACCTACGCCAGCTTTAATGTGTATGAAAAGGCCCTGTTATATAAGCAAGCACCCTCCATTTCTCTTCCTTCCTTGAAACAGAAACAAACATTACTATTAAAATGTGTTGAGCTAATCACAAATTATCAAAGCCAAAAAGAATCCAATGAGCCAGCAGATTTAGCCACTCCAGAGACTAAGGTCAGATTGTACAAATATTAACTTGATTGGTTATTATGGCCACTATATGGAGATTTCCAAGTGCAATAACTGCCATTTGAAACACTGACACAAAGGCAAGCATACTTGGCCCATTTAAACCCATCTGAGCACTTTAAAGGCTGGCTCCGGTCCAAAAGCACTCAGTGTCAGCCTTAATATGAACTGATCCTCCTTCAAGCCAGTTTGGTAATGTACTGCTATTAGATCACACACTGATAGCATAACCTCCGATGTACTTCCTACTCTACAAACATGCACAAATAAAATAATACAATTAAAAAACAACATTTTATTTACATAATTTATGTAACAATTGTTATTTTTCATTTTATAATGTTAATTATAAAAAAAAGTTTTATCTTGTATGCATAATTATATTGCACCAGTGTATTTGCATTTTGCACCATTTAGCTTACAAATAAAGATGAGCTGTTATTCAACTATTTAACACTATTCAATTCAAATGTATCAGCGCTTTTCACAGTTCATTATTGTTCCAAAGCAGCTTTACAGCTTTACAATTAGAAATTTCAAAAAAGTATTTAAAAACAAAACAAAACAGTGAAACCAAAGATCATACTCAAAACATCAGCTCAGTTTAAGTTTCTACTTACTAAATGGACCATTTACAGACCAACATGAAAGCTAAAGAGTCCGAATAGCACCTACATGAGAGGAGAGAACCACCGAGCCTCCTCTGACAGCAGATGTACTGTAGAAGTCCATCCTGGTCTTTATGTGCCCTTGTAACAAGTGCGCTAGAGCCGCTCGCATCAACTCCCAAACTCCCATCAATGACTCCATGAGATCTCAGAGAGAGCAGCATGTTGTTCTGGCTATTCCCAAGCAAACACTGCTGTGGTAAAATAAGACCGGACCAATAGGCTTGGCAGTTAGACGCTCTGCCACAATGTTCACAGAGCAGGATGTGGTTCACTTATTGCACTTTCCGGACCTGATCAATTATTCATGCCTGGATGGGCGAAGGGTAAAGCGGTCAATGTTACAATCACATCACAACTATTACGATCAGGTGGGTGGAGAAAAAACATGGATGTGTTTGTAGACTTAACCCTTTAGAGAAAAAACACCGCAAGAGATGCAGATAAAGAGGGACTGAGACTCAGCTTCTGAAACCTATAGTGAGCTACCAACAAAGGACAATTTAAGATAAACATTTCAGAAACATTTGGAGAAAAAAAAAATGTTTTCCACACAACAGATTAAAGATGTCTCAGGAAGTCTTTTTAAGCATTGACGGGGAGATAGATAGCTCGTCTCAAAAGCCACGGGATCAAATAATGGGCATGGAATCAAATTATCAGATGATGTCATCAACTACTAATAGCAACAAATACACTGGGCAGCTTTCTCAGAGTTGGATCAGCGCTAAAAATGTCACACCACACATTAGGACCACAATGAGTTCAAGAGAGGAAAGATAAACACTGGTGGTGTCGCTGTTAGACAGTGTTACTATAAAAAATACTAATAGGCTCTCATTTTCTAATATTTAATTTAGTTTATTTTTTTACACTATTTATTATGTTCTAACCCACATGATTTAATGTGGCACAACCTCTATTATCTCATCAGTGAAAATGACTGCTGTAAACCTCCAAGAATCTTGGTTTTTGCTAGTATGTATCTAAGCGAAACATTAGTTATATAAGTGCATTGATTTTTCAGAGATTACAGTGAAAGGAATATTTTAGTCATCTTGTTGTTCCAAACCTGTATTACTTTCTTTAGTAATTTCTTTAGTAAGATTATTTTGGTCCATACAATAAGAATTAATAAAAACGAAACACTGGCCCCACTTTCACTTTCATTGTATCGACCAAAGGCCAAAATAATAATAATATTTTAACATTCAAACAGCCACATTATATTCACATTAACCCATAAGGTGTGACAAAGTAACAGAAAAAGGAAACAGAGAGCAGCTGATTGACAAATGTCCCACAGCGATTGGTCTGGCCAACTAATTTACATGAAGTGATCGTTCAAATCCTTAAACATATGAGCAATGATAATTAGGATATTTCCCTCAGCAAGCACCATTAATTGTGCCCTAAAGGCTTGACAATCAGTCCAGGATTGATACACCACCTGTTCTTGAAAGACAAGGCAACTTTTTCCTCCTCCGATGTTTTACTGCAACATTTGGGGAAAACAAACATCATCTGACACACAGCCCCCCAGTCACCTTGTAAATACAACACACAAATCCCTTTATCACT